CTCTCCCACACCACCAGTAGTTTTATATTCTTTGGAGAATTCTGACACTTAAGTTCAAAATTACTTCCAGGGTTTGCAACAGTAAATAAGTTGATTTCCTCTGTTGTACAGATATGAACAAATTTCTTTTCCTAAGTGTTAGTTGCAGGTATTACATAAAAAAGTGGTAGAAGTACCATAATGCATTTAATTCTCAGGCGTACTTTTGTGGGTCATCCTTTGTAACAGCTTGATCTGTTTATCATTGAAAGCAAAATTCTTATACCCAGACTTGTAGATCATGGCTACCAAGCTTTCAAACACCAAACAAACATATTCCACTTTTTAAAATTACTTTCTCTGCTAGGGCATATTAAAATGCTGCAAACAGTGGTTCCCAAGCCAGCCTGATCACTATAATCATCTGGGCAGCTTATTAAAATACAGATACCTGGGCCCCCACACCCAGAAGTTCTTAAAGGTGTAAGGTATCATTCACTATTTTCTTAGAATGTGCTTGACTACTTAGTGTGGGCCAGGAATCTACATTTCTAACAAACCCTCTCCTCTTCAGGTGCTTTTTGTACAATTGCCACTTTGGGGAAAACCGAGATAAGGAGTGAAGGGCTTCGCTAAAAAGTCTGTATAAAGCTACAGTGTGAGGACATTTTTCGTTTCTTTTTTAGGGAGTGTTACTGTGCTATTAGTCTTATTCAGCCTGACACATTGGGGGGCACCATTGCAGTGAACCATTTCTTAACATAATTCAGTTGTCAATTTGGTCACCTTCAAAAACTGACTGATAATAAAATATCTGGGAATGAGAAACCTCATTTCTGATACACGGGCTTAGGACAAATTAACTCTCTGCTCCAGGTTGCCATGAGAATATTAAGTTCCACTTAACTCACCCCTCAGTCTTTAGGACTCCTAACATGTGTGATGTGAAATTTAAGATTAGCTCTAGGAATGTGTGGAAATTTTTCTTACTGAAACTTATTTAAAGCTTTAACACTTAAATTTCCAATCTTGGATCATGATTCCATTTCATAACTTTTAAAAACAAATGTCCTGGATCTCTTGCCTTATGTGGTAATTCCAAGCATAAATTTAAAATCCCTTATTCTAGTAGAATAAGGTGGTATTTACATAATCATGGGAGTATTGTGTATGGTGGAATGTTGACCTAGAAGGATCACCAAAAGATTAAAAAATCCAGCTTCTTTGCTCTTTTTATTTTATAAATGAGGTGCAGACATGTAATGTAAATTGCCAAGTCACTCACCTGAAAGGCAGTTAGTAACGTAGCTACAAGTAAATTCAGTTATGCTGTCTAATATCCATTTAGCTTTTTGGTTTCTTGCATAAACTTTTAGGACAGTCTTAGTTCTTTTAAGAAGTCAAAGACAAAACCTGTCCAGCAGGCTCAGGGGGTCTCTCTCTAAGGACTAGATTAAATTCTGCACCAAAAAAATAGTGACAAAATCATAGACCTAGAGGTTCATCCTAGCCACATACCCTTGAACAAGGATCTTTTGCCTCTATCTGAAGATTTCATCAGCATAGGAACATAAGTTCTTTTTTTAAAACAAAATTTTGAATATCCTATTGGACTGAATTTTTTTTTTTCTTTTTTTTTCTTTTTTCGTATAATAGGTAAAGGTTAAGTCTTGTTAGTCTGGGAACCAGTCTGTCTTTTTTTAAAGGGTGTTGAGGTTTGTTGTTTAGTCTTGTTACGGAGGAGGAGATTTCATCCTGCTACTTTAACAGCTCATCATTATATTTAGAAAATACAATATTTTAATTAAGATTGTTCTTTTCCTTTAAAGATCAAACCATTAACTTTAAATACAACTCAGAGCAGAAGCATCACTTCATTTAATATTAGTAATTGAGAGTAGTCGATCTTAGAAATTCAGATGTTATCATCTGGGATTTTTAAGGATCCACTTCTTAAATTAACGTTGACATTAAAAGTTAAGTCCCAATGCTATTAAATATTCTAGTCATTATAAAGCTACAATTTTGGTATCATATCAGGCAACTTTTTCAATGTAATTAGATTTCCTGTATAATTTACCTCCTTGGAGAAAATGTGCTGACCAGAGAGATACAGAGATCTTTTCTTCGTAAATTGATAAATTGAATGACTTTTTTATATATACCTGTCTTTTTGCTTGGTTAACGTGCTTCCAGTCTGGGACATATCTGCTTGCTTATTACAAAGTCAAGTTTCTTGATCGTCTTTGTTAGAAGTCCCCACCTTAGATTGATAAATGAACATTTAATTTTTAAATTATTTATAAAAGCTAAACATATAGAATTACAAATTATTTCAGCAAGTCAGTAATACAGCCAAGGTAAATGGATATTTATGAAACAATATAGTAAATACATGATGTCAAAAAAATTGTTTCATCAAGCTGGTAATAAACATTGATTTTTGTGATCATTTCTGAGAATACTATAACTCCTGCCATGTTTACCACATTATCTAGAAGATTAACCAGGAACAGAAAATATACAATTTTATTTCCCCTAGATCAGCATTAAGTTAACAGGGTCTTTGCCACTGATTTTGCAAAGCCCACTGCCCTGACAATGGTTTCATTGGATAGTAGGTAGGGACAGTGCGAATCTCTTTCATCCATTCAGGGGCATTGCTAATTAGATAAGGTATTTGGCTACCTAAAGAGATTCGTAGTTACTCCCATTAGTTACCCGCACTTAAGTGAATGTCTTCACTTTGACATGCAGAGTACTAGGCAGAAATCAAAGTTCGGGGGACTTGGTAATTTTTCAAGTGAAAGTATAGAGTTAGTTACCCCAAGTTGGAAACTGACGTAGCATACATCATTAGCTCTGTGATTCTTTAACCCAAAAGGCAAAAGAACATGCAATTACATTTAGTATATATGTATATATGGATAAAATAAAGTGTTGTGGGGTGAGAGGTGGAGGAAATTTTTTTAAGGTGACTTTTTTATTGTACTTCAAGTGAAAGTTTACAATTCAAGTTAGTCTATCATACAAAAATTTATACATACATCGTTATGTGACCCTAGTTGCTCTCCCTGCACTGTGACAGCACACTCCTTTCCACCCCAGATTGCCCATGTCCATTCGGCCAGCTCCTGACCTGCTCTGCCTTCTCATCTCACCTCCAGACAGGAGCTGCCCATTTAGTCTTATGTATCTACTTGATCTAAGAAGCACACTCTTCACAAGTACCATTTTATGTCCCATAGTCCAATCTAATCTTTATCTGAAGAGTTGGCCTCAGGAATGGTTTTAGTTCTGGGTTGACAGATAGTCCGGGGGCCATACTTTCTGGGGTTCTTCCAGTCTCAGACCGTTAAGTCTGGTCTTTCTACTAGAATTTGAGTTCTACACCCCACTTTTCTCCTGGTCTGTCAGGGACTCTCTGTTGTGTTCCCTGTCAGGGCAGTCACTGGTGGTAGCCAGGCACTATCTAGTTCTTCTGGTTTCTGGTTTATGTGGCCCTTTCTGTCTCGAGCTAATACTTTCCTTGTGTCTTTGGTGTTCTTCATTCTTCTTTGCTCCAAGTGGGTTGGGACCAATTGATGCAGCTTAGATGGCTGCTCACTAGCTTTTAAGACCCCAAACACCACTCACCAAAGTGGGATGCAGAACATTTTCTTAATAAACTTTGTTATGCCAGTTGACCTAGATGTCCCCTGAAACCATGGTCCCCAGACCCCCGCTCCTGCTACTCTGTCCCTCACAGTGTTTGGTTATATTCAGGAAACTTCTTAGGTTTGGTTTAGTCCGGTTGTGCTGACTTCCCCTGTAGTGTGTGTTGTCCTTCCTTTCACCTAATAAGATGACTATATTTTTATATCTCTTGCCTAATAAATTCAGGACTGAAGGGACAAATGAGGTGTGGACTTTAGTCCTTCCAACATTCCATTGTAGTAATAATTCTTCCTGTTCAAAAAGGGAATAAGGGATAATTTATGAGTGATTGGAGTTATAAATAATGTACTTACTATATAAGCACAGGAGGAGATAAGTATGGAGTCAAGGGTATTAAAGAGAACATGACCTTCATTCTTTGTTGTTTATCATATGATTTTTTTTTTGTCCCTAGAGATACATCCTAAGTATCAACTATTCCTAGGACCAGAGTTTACACAAGTGCCAAATACATGAACAAGAACACCCCATTAAAATTCTTTTCACACATTATTGTGTATCTTAGGAGAGCAGATGTTGCCTGTGGGCTGTCACAGTCTTACTACATCAGCATAAGTGTAACAAATATTAGTGTAGACTAATAGAATTTAGAATTGTCCTAAAGCCCTCTGAGGTATGCATTGTTAGCTAATTCCATAATTATGCGTGCATAAATTTCCCCTACAGTGATTGACCTCCATTTAAATAACCACAGTGATATTGAGGCAGTTTATTGCATCTTTAGACAACTTTTAGGAAGCTGCTTTTCCCTCAGGCCCCTAGAACTGAATGTGATATCCTAACTTAATTGCGTCCCACAAAACAGTGAGTAAAAAGAGGACTGAGTAGGCAAATGGCAGACAGCAGAGATTATTTTGGTCCTGACAGCAGTAGCTTGCTTCATAAATGGACTCTTAACCAAGTAAATAAGAAGCTGTTTGAGAAACTTAACAAATGTTATTTTTAATTCTATGGAAGTATTTTAATAAAATAACAGTAATTTTCATTATGTTAACTACCAGAGTTACATTGGCAAGTTTTAGGAGCTATTTGAAATGTAAGATGTGACAGGGTGAAACTATTAAATACGTTAAGTATATAGTTTTATCCATGTTGCAATAAACATGTCTTTCAATTGTTATGTTATTTATAACCACTAAGTTTCTCTTGCCCCAGGATATAATATGAATATATTTTAATACTTGCTATATTAATTGGCCAGACAGAAGTGCTTTTTGATAATTTGAGATGCCACACAGCATGATGGTGTTGCACTTTACCTGATTTTCCACTTCAGGTCTTTTTGTTTTGAACTCTCTTTGCAGTTATCCTTATACAGTAAAAGTTGCGAAGGCTGAAACCTGTGTAAGGCAGAAAACCTGTCAGAGAAGGAAAACTCAAATACATTCCACTAAAACAATTACTTCAGCCTAATATTCTTTGAAAGCCAGAACCTGGGAAATGTGGACGGAGTCAGAAAATCGTTAGTATTGCAACCGAAATATAAGGAAGTGCAGATGCGAAAGCCGGAAATCATTCCAAGAAGTACAAGAGTCAGAGATGAAGGCTCAGTCTTGCACTTCCTTTTGCATTGTTACTGTGTGTAAGCACATACTGTGCATTGCTACTGTTTTCTGAATACACCTATTATTTACATTTTTACCTTTTTTTTTTCTGCCTGTAAATTTTTCCTAGCGAAGGACAACATCCATCAGCTTGGAAGAAAGTAAGAGATACCAATAAATTCCTTTATTTTCATTAAAATCTAGCAGAGCACACTTTTTTTCCTTGTCTTGAGAGATTTGACTCTTTAATTTTTAGTTTTCACTTTAGCTATTTGTAATTTTGATACACATTATTACAAACTTCAAAATCTCGTTCATTTCCTTGAAGTTTTGTTCTTCAGAATTTCTTGTTTTGCTCCCCAAAAAGAGAAGTATTTCCTCACTTAACACATTCATTGTGTGTACCAAAGCAAAAACATTCTTAAATATTTTACTGAAGTGTGTTAATTGTATCATATAATGATGTTGGTTTTCATTTTTTCTTTTTGTTTGAGACAATTCACGTTTTCGAGAAGATCATAAATTCCTTATTTTTATAAGAATTTATTTCACTCTCTGTTTTCCTTTTTTTTTTTGAAAATGATTCCTTCACAGCCATGGATAAGAGGGTAAGAAATTTATCTCTGAAAGAAAAGTTTGATGTTGTCAAAATGATAACTGAAGAGAAAAGGACTGTCAAGGAAGCTGTGAATAAGTTCAAGTGCAGCAAAACGCAAATCTACTCAATTATGGAAGAAAGGGATAAGATAATAGAGAAATACATGAACAGTATCAACGCAAACATCAAGAAAGGAAGGGGGGATGGAAATCAGCAATCTGTTTTTGAGTGGTTTCTTCAAGCTTCTGCCAGTAATGTTCCCATTTCAGGACCTATCCTGCAAGCAAAGGCGAAGGAAACTGCGAAACTTTTAAAAGTTGATGGATTCTCAGTGTCTAATGGGTGGCTTCAGAGCTTCAAAAAAAAACATGGAATCACTTGCAATGTGGCTTGTGGGGAATCAAACGGGGTTGGCATGCAGGTTCAGGCAGCAGTAAATGACATTTATAGTGGTGTTTCAGAAAATAGGGTCAGTGCTACATCTTACGTTGTTATTGACAAAGAAATTGCCACAGAAATGGATGATATAAACCTGCAAGAAATTGTAGGCTTACAATCTAAAGATGACAACGATGAAGACATACCATTAGAAGAGGCTGAGCCTGTAAGTCAGGCACAAGTTTTCAGCTATATAAAGGCTTTGAAGGAATTTGGAAAAGTTAAAGGAGACCAAGAGTTTTTTGATAAGGCTATAGACTTAGAAATTTGTTTCAGTAATTTCATAAAAAAACCAAAACAAACTAAACAGTTAACATTAGATGTTTTATTAAAAAGTGAATTTTACCCATCTCTGTTTGACTAGTAAATGCACATACCTGTATCTAATTTGAATAAACGTGCAAATCTAAAAAAAAAATGGTTTTTTTCCCAGTCCTATAAAATCGAAAACAAACACTATCTGAGTGTTTATGAGGTTAGGATTCTTAATAGAGAGTGCTAGAAAGTCGTTAGACTGCACTCTGTCAAAGGCAGAAAACCTGGCAAGACCCAGAAAAACAAGGCAGCCCTGTCAAGTTCTGGCTCACACAGGTTTCAGTGTACTATTTGCCACATTTTTAGCCTTTAAGAATGAATTATAATTACCAAAACCGGCCATCTTCTCTTTCTCCCATTAGAGACTAGAACAGGGATGGGCAAACTACAGCCCCCACAACTTGTTTTTGTGTAACCTGGGAGTTTAAAATATTTTTTATATTTTTAAACGCTTGTTAAAGGGAGGTGAGAGGAATATGTGAGACTGTATATGGCCTGCAAAACCTAAAATAGTTCCTGTGTGGCCCTTTACAGAAAAGGTGCAGATCTGTGGAATAGAGCCACTAAAGGAAAACAAAATGCTTAAAGGGCAACCAGTAAGCCAGAGACCCTGCTGGTCATTAAAGGAACTAGTAAAATCAAACAATAGCTTTAACTAGTAAAAAAAAAAAAAAAGTCTGCCTTGAGCATTATTATGCTTTTAAGAACTGTCTATATGGGATGAAAGTGACAACAGCAACTCAAAAGATTAGATAGGAACGAACTTCAGGGGAGCAGTGAATTTATGTTAATGGGGGAGGAATAACTCGGAAAAGGAGGGTGAGAATGGTTAGACAACTCGAAGAACGTAATCAGAGTTACTGAATTGTATGTGTAGAAACAGTTAATTGGTGATGTTTTGCTGTATATATTCTCAACAACAAAATAAAATTTTTTTAAAAAGATGCCGAGATCTCAGGAAATATGGATGGGTCACTAACCACATCAGTTACAGTAGATAGTGTTGGTGTTAGTTATTCTACTTTTGTGAAAACAAACCCTGTGTAATAATAGGGGAAAAAAATGTAACCAGTGTCAGTATGTGTAGAAATTGTTGAAATCTGTTTTGCTGTGTATGCTTTCACAAAAAATGTAATTTTAAAAAAATTTGTTTTAAAGGAACCTAGAGTCAGTACACAGAAAAGAGAAAGACAGTTTAGCTTGGAGTCAAAATACAAATATTATTAAGAACTGGTTAATGAATAGGCAGATAATTACACAATGTGAAAGCCAATAATGGCAGAATATGCCATCATTCAAATTTCTAATAGCATGTAAAGTCTTTCTGGTATCTTCAGTTAAACTATTAGTATAGGGATTTATACCCGTATCTTACTGACGTATAAGACTAAAATGCAAAGAAGATAACACTACAAGAAGGAAATGTAGATACATATATAAACTTAATATAGCTACTGGGTATTGTAAATAATCTCAATCTCTTAACCTCCTTAGTGCTGGGTATTTGGTTGTGTGATAAAAATTTACTGTAGTGTCACGTTGGCAATATTCTTATTTTAAAGAAAAATGGAGCTAATAGATTAAATTGAATCATGGCCGGTATCATGCTCACTGTTCAAAGAAAAACTAATTGAAAGAGAATATTTGCTGCTTTTTTAATTTGGCAGACTACTAATAAAGTTAAACAGAAATAATAAACATAGTAAAGATTTACTTCTAAAACACTCTCCAGTGAGATACAAGCATTTCATAAAGTAATTATCAAAGCTATATTGGATTTAAAATACCATGAAACAGGAAAGAGAGCTGTGAATCTATGTATTTCCTCTATGTAGCTTCCCTTCTTGGGCAGCCTTTGCCTATATACCAGAGTTTAAAACAGCACTGTATTTAATCATATTCCCCAAAAGGAGAATTTGCTTCATGAGGCATTAGTGAGTAATGCATATTTTACTGCCAATTTCACAGGAGAGACTGAGGAGAGAGTTTAATTTCAAAAATACCCCATTTTCTCAGAATCACTTGTAGTTCTACGCTTTTCTCAGTTGCTCACTTTCTAAAATTTTCCTCAATAAGTCTTATGCAGAACCCTTTAGCAGTGTGGGGCGATACACAAGCTTAGCAAGTATATACATATACTTGCTTAGGAAGTAGCAAATAGGAACATCCTGTGTTGATCAACTTTTACCGATTGGCAGTGATCCTTGGAGCAAGGTCCCACTGGGTATGCGACTGAAAGGAATGAGTCCTGTAGCTGCCTGGCACAGAGGGACACAGCTGTAGATGAAATGGAGCACCTGTCTTAGCATCTTTTTGGGGAAGCATCTCACTCAGTTTAGCCAGTTTTACTAGGTTATTTGACAGGGTGTGACTGCAGATTATGGGGTCTTAATTCAGGTCTTTGACTTGAAAAGGTTTCATTTGCTAACTGCAACACTTACCCTCAACCTAAACCCTTTAAAAAAAAAAAAAAATGCTGTTGAGTTCAACTCACAGCGACCTATAGGACAGGGTAGAACTGCCCCATAGGGTTTCCAAGGAGCACCTGGTGGATTCAAACTGCTGACCGTTTGGTTAGCAGCCATAGCTCTTAACTACACTACACCACCAGGGTTTCCACCTAAGTCCTTAGTCAGCATTAACCAAAGTAACAAGGAATTGTAAATTTTAATCAGATATGTAGAGGAGAACTTGTTCAGTTAACTTGGAATACATTATTTCCGACAACACAAGTGAATGACAAAGATTTTGTGAAAGTAATGTATGTATAAATTTTTGTGTAAGAGACTGACTTGAAATGTAAACTTTCACTTTAACAATAAAAAGATTTTGTGAGAGAAGTTTGTTTATAGAAATGTGCCAGTTTCCACGTTGCACGTTTCATTTGGCTGTGTTTTTTTTTAATAATAGAACTTCAGAATTCCAAAGCAAATCTGCATGGGATTATGTTCACTTTGGTTCACTTGCAGTTATCTTCCATCTATCCAACTAATTCTACAAAACCTACAGATTGCTGAGAGAACCTGGGACCAGCCAAAGAAACTATTTATTAGCTGAATGTAGTTTACTTCTAAACCAGTGGTTCTTAAAATGGATCCTGGATTAACCTGCATTAGAATTATTTTCGGTGTTTGTTTAAAATGCAGATTCTTGACAAACCTACCAAGTCAATCAGTTGTATATTCTGAAAAGGTAACTGGTAAAAAGAAATGTTTCTTTTGAGATACTGAAACTGCAGTGAAGAGATTGTCTTCACTTTTAAAATAAGGTGGAGAAATGGAACCAAAATATTGGGCTCCTCACTTAAGGGGGATGTATTATGAAATCCAGATCACTATTTAACGGGCCAAAATTTTAGGAATACAGATATTACACGGCACAGCATGAATAACTGTAAAGAGCATATTTGAGCAATCATTGCTTTTAGGGAGCTATGAATTTAGTGCAATTGTACAGAGAAAGGAGGGGGAGAAAAGAATAGTCCTATTTTGAGCTGCACGCTGAAGAATTGCGTCACAGCTGGGATTTGATAATCCCTTTTGCTAAACAGGAAGACTACTTGACTACAGGTAACGTCGTATTAAATAACAGGAGATCAGAGAAGAATACCACTTCCAAAGATCTAAACTTAGGGGATATTTACCTGGTCGAATGAGTTAAAATATAACACGGGTTAACAGTCACCAACATTCTGTATAAAAAAGTTAACTTGCTGTGTAAACTTTACCCAAAATTTTTTTTAAAAGGTTATCTGCATAGTGGGTTCAATATAAACTGATGGTCCTACACATACGGGCCATTTTGTTGGTTTCATGGAACCAAATTATTTGCAGTGGATTTTTTAAAAAAAAAATCTCTATAGATGAAAAATAGGAAATACGTCAGTCTGATTTCTGGAGTGGACGTTTATTTGGGTAGGGCTGTTGGTGACATGAGTGTACCTTTTTCCAAAACATTCTGCTGGCCAGAAGATGAGCTTAAATGACCTACCTGGACATCATTTAAGAGATGCTTCCCTCGCTCCTAAGTAAGGTGTTCAACCAGTTTTGTGCCATGTACCTTTTGACAGCTTGGCAAACTCCTTCTCAGAATGTTTTAAATACGTGTTCCACAGTGCATACACCCTAAATTCTACCTAGGGACTCCTGATTAGGAATCCCTGCAAGGTGTTAAGATTCAGAAAGGCTAGGATTTCAGCACCCAGTTCAATAAAGAGGGTAGATACACGTTGAGTTATTCTAGCTTCCAACTAGAATGACGCCTTCCATTCAAATGACTTTGGAGAAAATAGCTCACCTCAAGTGTCTTAGGAGCCCTGGTAGCGCAGTAGTTAAAGCGCTCCGCCGCGAACCCACCGGCCAGCCCCTCCACGGGAGAAAGATGTGGCAGTCTCTTCGGTAAAGATTACAGCCTTAGAAACCCTATGGGACGGTTCTAATCTGTCCTATAGGGTCGCTGTGAGTTCGACTTTTCTCCATGGCACTGGGTTTGGTTTTCGGTTCAGTGTCAGACACCACAGTATAGATTTTTTTTTTTTTCCTCCGAATAAGAAACACCAAGAGAACAAAACCTTTTGAGCCCTCTTGAAACCAGTCTGACCAAGAAGAGGGAGAGGTTCCTTATTCCAGTTTTGACCTCCTGTGGGAATAACCTCTTACCACGTATGATACATAACTGGCTTATCATAACTGGACACACCCAAGAGATCCCCTTTAGAGTCTGCTAACCACTTTACACTTCAGGAGAAACCTCTTCACTGAGACAGCTCTGTCTCTGATGGGATGGTATTTTGCCCGCGTGAACTTTATGGAGCAGCCCAAACTTCCGCTCCCCCTCTAGAAAAGCAAGTTATGGGTGGCTGCGGAGCAGATACAAACTCGTGGCTTGGCCGCTGGCCCGAGCGAGTTGAGGCCTAGCTTTGCAGGCGGGGCAGCCAGGCGGGCCTGCGCGATAACGGGCGTCGCCCGGGCCGCTTCCGGCGTCACAAAGGGCACCGCCCTTCAGGCTGGTCTAGGCCGCGGTGGGGAGGGCGAAGTGGGTGAAGTCCGCACCGGCCCGGATCTTGCGGTCGTCGCCAGAAAGCGGGGTCACGGGAGAGCAGTGGTAGCCACGGAGCTGCAGCTCTCCCCGCTCCAGACGCCCGAAGCCTCCAGAGCCGAACGTGCCTGCGGCCATAAGTAAACTGTAATCCGATCCCGTCCTCGGCGTCAGAGGATGGGGAAAGACAGCGGCAGAGACGTGAAGCTCCACTCCTGGCCTGCACAGGCAGCTTTGCCGCAAAAGGTGGCACCCTTCATTCCACCTCCCGCGTCATCTTCGAGGAGCTTAGAAACGCACTTCCTCCGCGCGGGCCTTCCTCCGCGGCCTAGCGGCGCCGGACGCGCCCCCTGCTCGCTCCACTTCCGCCCCGAGCTTTCTGAGGCCCCAGAGGCTCAGGGCTTTGGCTTTTTCGGTGTTCAAGTTCTTGTTCTCCTGTTTTTCCATTTAATCCCTACCGCTCCTCGGCCTCTCGAAAGAAAGCAGTAAAATGCCACTTGTAACTACTCGGCCGTGACGCAGTCCGTTTAGACTCCCAGTCCGGCGCCAACGCCATCTTCCGGAAATGCTGGTACCGGCCAGTCAGTCCATTGTCGTGGGCGGAGAGGAAGTGACCGTTTGTTATTCATGATTTTCTG